CTAATCTGCATTTCCTAGGTTTTCAGGCTGGCAATTTGCTTAAGTGGGATTTAGGGAAGAAAGTCAGAGCTAGAATGGTTGATACACCTCCTGAGAATATTATCACCTGCACACCTTTTGTTATGAAAAATACATGGACAATTTTTAAGCAGCTGCAGTGTGGCAGGTTGACCCTGGCTGAACGCCAGGTGCCCACCAAAGCCATTCTATCACTCCCCCCTCCTCAGCTGGACAGGGGAGAGAAAATATAACAAAGGGCTTGTGGGTCGAAATAAGCACAGGAGAGATCACTCACCAATTACTGTCACAGGCAAAACAGACTCAACTTGGGAAAAATTAACTCAATTTATTACCAATCAACCAGAGTAAGGTAATGAGAAATAAACCCAAACCTCAGAACACCTTCCCTCCTTCCTGGGCATAACTTCACCCCCAGGTTCTCTACCTACCCCCCAGCAGCACAGGGGGACAGGGAATGGGGTTTACAGTCAGTTCATCACACGTTATTTCTGCCACTTCATCCTCCTCAGGAGCAGGACTCATCACACTCTTCCCCTGCTCCAGCGTGAGGTCCCTCCCACGGGAGACAGTCCTCCACGAACTTCTCCAACATGGGTCCTTCCCACGGGCTGCAGTTCTTCTTGAACTGCTCCAGCATGGGTCCCTTCCACAGCATGCAGTCCTTCAGGAGCACACTGCTCCAGCATGGGTCCCCCATAGGGTCACAAGTCCTGCCAGAAAACCTGCTCTGTGGGCTCCTCTCTCCACAGATCCGCAGGTCCTACCAGGAACCTGCTCCAGCACGGGCTTCCCACGGGGTCACAGCCTCCTTTGGGCACCCACCTGCTCCAGCGTGGGGTCCTCCCCAGGCTGCAGGTGGAGATCTGCTCCACCATGGACCTCCCTGGGCTGCAGGGGGACAACCTGCCTCACCATGGTCTTCCCCATGGGCTGCAGGGGAATCTCTGCTCCGGCGCCTGGAGCACCTCCTCCTCCTCCTTCTTCACTGACCTTGGTGTCTGCAGGGTTGTTTCTCTTACATGTTCTCACTCCTCTCTCCAGCTGCCGTTTCTGTCTGTCCCAGCAACTGTTTTTTCCCTTCTTAAATATGTTATCACAGAGGTACTACCGCTCTCGCTGATTGGCTTGGCCTTGGCCGGCAGCAGGTCCGTCTTAGAGCCAGATGGTATTGGCTCTGTCAGACACAGGGGAAGCTTCCAGCAGCTTCTCAGAGAAGCCACCCCTGTAACCCCCCCGCTACCAAAACCTTGCCGCACAAAGCCAATACATGCAGCAAATAAATTATTTTCTGCTGCTGCTAACAGCATTAGCAGCACGGAACATTGCTTGGTCCTGTTTATCCTACCCATGTACTGCATTTAAACTCTTGTAGAGGAGTCAAATCTGACAGTTGCACAAAATACTTTTGGGAGCTCCAGAAAGAACAAGGCAGCAGTCTGCGGCAAGCAAGCACTGTGCTTCGAGATCACACGCTCTCAGCAACGCTCAAACTGAAGTCAGTGAGGCAGGACCAGTTACCATCTTACTTGTGCATGATATGATTCGGCTGACTTAGCAGGTGAAGAAAGGCCTATTTCAACTCTGTACCTTTGGCATTCACAGGTAGGAGGATTTGATGGAGTCAACCGCCTTCGGAGCGTGGAAGCTTACAACCCTGTTGCCAACACATGGCACACAGTCCCCACCATGTTCAATCCTCGCAGCAACTTTGGCATCGAAGTGGTGGATGATCTTTTGTTTGTGGTTGGTGGCTTTAACGGTTTTACTACTACTTTCAATGTTGAGTGTTACGATGAAAACACTAACGAGTGGTATGATGTTCACGACATGGGCATCTACCGTAGTGCTCTGAGCTGCTGTGTGGTGCCAGGTCTGTCTAACGTTGCGGAGTATGTTGCCAGACGAGACTGCTACGTGGACAACTCTTCAAAGGAAGTCAGGTTCACTTCTTCAACAAGTAGCCTGCCTGTATAAACAGCTCCCCTTAGCTAATAAAGTCTTCTGAGCAGCAAGTGAATGTATTCACTTATTCTGAAATAAAATCTATTGATACTGGCCAAAAAACTAATTAGTATTTAAGACTTTCATTCTACAGCATCACAAAATATGTGTATTAGCCACAGCCCACAAAGCAACTTAAAAAATAAAAGGTACAACAGAGTGCTAGAGAAATAAAAGGTTTATTTTCATTAATTCACTTATTACAATAAACTTTAGTACAGTGTATTTAAGGTAAAGAACATTACAGTAGGAATTGTTCCAAACAGCCTATACACACATACTACTTTACCTTACTGGAAGTAAGTACAGGAGTGCTGCTTCCCCAAGCAATCTGTTGAAGTCTACATTAATATCGACAGGCGAGTACAGCTGCCGTGATCCACAGTGACATGGACCTATGAGGAGTATCTGACTATTAATGGTCTTCAAACATCTCATTAGTTCCACACTTTACATTCATATTAGTAATAGGATTAGATCCTCAGGAGCACCTGTTTTATCAGACTTCCACTCAGGACTGTCAAATTAGAGATATGATTTACACTCTAACATAACGTGGACATACCTGAAAACAAATCTAAGCCACAAACCACTTATTTTAAGCTTGCTTTTTTAAGCCCATTAAATGTCACAACATACTATTACAAGGTTGTGTTAAAAATAACCTAAAAAGTTGCAAATCTTTGTGACTCAGTTTGTCAGTAGCGATCAGTCTATTCTGTGACACACAAGTTGAGCCAATAGTTCTGATTTTAACATTTACTGTAATGGAGAAAAATTATATTGAAATAGTATAGCAGGATGCTTGGCATAGTTATTCATAATGCATGCTAAAAAATTGGCATGTTTTCTTCATTTCTGGAGTGGTATCCTACTATGTGCAAGAGAGTCTTATTAAAAATACATACAAACCCAGCATACTAAGAGAGTATTAGGGTAGTTATAAAATATTATGTACACATATGGCACCTAGAAATTACTACAATGACCGCCGAGTGCTAGGCAGGATGTGTCCTGCTCCACCAATACTTTGAGCAGAAAGACAGGACATGAAACATGCATTTTGTGGCATGTATTCAGTACAGGTATAGAGGTATGATTGTCATAACGAGGAGGAAAAACTCCACCTGATGTTCTTTCACATTAGGAAGGCCAGAAGTCAGCCTTCTAATACTTACTGAATACACACTAGGATCTTACCGACATTTAACTGGCCACTATAAACACACTGAAAGAATTCCCAGGCTTTTGTTTACAGGATCATTTAATAAACACCCAGCAAGCTACGGCAGTCAAGGGCCACAAGGAATTTGTTATGCGATTCACAGGTTAGTGGGAAATTACAGCCAAAGTCAATAATGCAATTCTTCCAAACACCTACATGTGATACAATGGATAGTTAGACTGGTCAGTTAAAAACCATGTGCAATGCAATTGGTCCACTTAAAGTCAAGGCTAATAAAAACCTCAACTACTTAAAAATTCCATAGGATTGGCATAGGAACAGTTAGAGCAAACTGGTGCTGTTCACAGTGCCCACCACTCACCATGCAAACGGAGCATATGGAGATACACTGCATCACATACAGAATCATGGCTGGCATTCACAAGTTAAGCTGTCCAGACACTAAGCTGTTTTGACATTGTCTTTGACTGGAATGTTTTTAGTAAACTATACAGCTTGTATGTCAGCCAAAGTTCTCATGGTAAGTGCAATATCAATTTTGCTTAAAAAAGACAGACTGCAAGAAGTTTGTTCTTGCATCTAACTTTGTTGCATGCTGCCACACATTAAACTATTTAGTTGATATTCCAACTGAAATAGCAATCTTGGTATTTCTCCCTACAAATTGTCCATATTTGTTGACAGACTACAAGAGGGCTTTGACAGGGCTGTGGTGGTCTGACATACTACCATCCTTCAACTGCTTGTTAAATCCCTACACCAAAATCAGTGGGATGGAGTATGTAAAATCTTCTCAGTTGCTTCTCTGCAGTCTGGTAAAGTATCTTAAAATCGGCTCCCACAAATTTAAGTTAAATCAATGGATTTAGTACTAAAGCTGTGAGGCATTTCCACACTTCTATTCACAAACCCTGCTGTAGGAGCAGTAATTCTTAAACTACTCCAGCCAAAACTGCAAAAGTTCATGGTCCAAACTCCACTGATTAACACCCTGCTTACAGGCCTGCATGAGCTGATTTGGTAACAGTCACTTCTGAACATCAGCCTTAAACCTGAACAAGCTTACCTATTTCCTCTTTTGCATTAGGCCAGCATTGTACAGTTTAATCTGCACTTGCGTAACAATCCAACAGGCAAATAAAATACTAACTGGTTACCACAGATGAGTAAGTTGAGACTAAACTGTTAAGATTTTCAAGGTTGGTTTTTTTGTTTTTTTTTGTTTTTTTTTTTAAACAAGGCTAGATGATTCTATTACAAAAAGACAAGTTATTGATATCAAAAGTGGCAAGTGAACTGCAAAGTGGAGTATTAAGGGATGTACACATCAGAGAAACCTTTACACACTATGTGGTTGAAAGACTTACCCAGTGTTTCAGATATGATCTAGGCTGCCTGCTGAATTGGAAAATGAGAAGTATCAGCTCAGAAAGCTAAACAATTAAAAAACAAAACAAAAAACCAAACTGTTTAGAAGTTCTTTTGCAAAGAAGTTGCCCACATCAAAACCACCAGCAAATCATCATATGAACCAAAGACAGTAAACAGACTCTCCAACAATGTTTGTCTACACAGATTTTGTAACACCCTGGTTACTCCTCCCTTTCCCTTCCCTAAGATCCTGAGTTAGGTTGCACGTGAAAACCTGGAACATTCAAATGAAGGGAAGGATGGGGAAGAAAAGGAGGTAGGAAGGATGCACTGAATCCACTAGTAACCTAAACCATCCTGGAGCTCTTGGGATCAGAGAGGAGTGTTCAACAGGACAGTTAACTGAGAGGCAGTGATTCCATGTTCTGTTCCTTGGGAGTATAGCAGTAAGCAAACCAGAGCCAACCAGCGCACTAGTTTATGTAAAACCACCTCAAAATGCCAAAAGGTATTTAAATCAGCTTAAATCTTACTGCCATAGTTAAGTGGGGAAATTCAAATATTTAGAGACTCTGAAATCTCAACTATCTTGCTTCAAGAGGAACACCAAGTGCCGATTTGTTAAAGAGCACTGCAGCACAGCTACTCTAAATTTCTTGGGAAAGTATACCGAAGGCAAAGGGTACTGATTGTCAAAGACAGGCTGGGAACAGGCTCGTGGGCGTTCTTCTAATCACTTTTTCACTAGAACTAAAACGCGTGCAACATTTGAGAAAGGATCTGCAAGTAGCTCAGGTTTCAATCTATTACTGTGAAATAATCTCATTCTTACTAATCCACAGTAAAATAGAAGTGAATAGTCAATGTTGGTGGGTGGCTACTTCGCTGGTTTTCACTCCTTTTATCAGGCTGATTGTTGACCCAAGTTTCTAATGAAGCTGTCAAAGACAAACTCGAAGCATCTTCAGATACACCTGAAAAAAACCTACTGCGTCAAGTTCTCTGTTTTAGCAAGTGTCTTATGTTCTACCAATCATCCATTTATAAACAAACTCTGCCGCCTCTCTACAACATACAGATACAAAATATTTAATACACATAGAAACATCCTGAAGTAATTTTATAAAGAAAGATTGTGCTTTTGTTTTCATATATAGGTATAACTATTGCACTTGCCTCCAACTTGGGAAAGCTAAGTACACTAACACTAATTATATGTGAAGTTTAGTCACTGAGAAGGAGAGAATCAAAGGAATGTCAATATATAAGTGCAAATAAAACAGGTGCTTTCAAGCACACGCAAATGTAACCACTAAATTATTATGATAGAGATCTTTGATTTTCAGAATAGAACTGTTAGAGACTAACTCCACAGAAGACCTTGAAAACAAAGATCTGAAGAGAAAAAAAACAGACTTAATGTTCCTGGAGATATTTCACAGCCCATTGCAGGCTAGTTTTTCCCTGGGCACCATTAAGTAATACTGTTGGATTCACATAGTTTCTCAATTCCCATCCATCCTCAATTTCTGAGCTTCTTAATTTTCACTACATGAAAGATGCTGGTTTCATGCATCAAATCCAATCAACACCCTCGTGTCTTATAAAGACATATCAAGCCTAACAAAATAGTTTAGCACAGTATTTCATAGACTCATCAGGAGGAGTGATATCCCAGAAACTAGCACTCAATCTGTGAGCGTGGCATTCTCCGTAAGCTTAGGGAGTGTCGGTGTATTTCCTGCATCTGCCTTTCCTGCATTTGCCTTATTCTATCTTTTTGCCACATCAAATTCTGTGGCATAGGGTATCTTTGTGTTCCCTGCAAGCACCTGAAGGGAATTCTCACATGGCAGGCTGTTGCTCTGCAGCGAGGCTGAGGCATAGGAGGCAAAAGCATCCAGCGCTTTCTCTCAGCACAGTAACGATAAGCCTCTTTCCTGTATTGCTTGTCAATATCATCGCTGTTTTTCCACCCCCCAATGATAAAAACATCATCTTTATAATAACAAATAGCTGCTCCTTCAATGCTAAGAACCTCTGGGGGTAAGCTTTCAAGTATTTCCTCCGAGGTCCTGCCAGAGATCTTTATCTTGGCTTCCTCATTACCTATAGAGTAATTCTTGGGGCAGCACGATGCTGTATGGTAAAAGTTTGTGTTAGCAACAGACATCTGAAAGGAGCAATAATTATCAATGAGTGGCAGAGACTCCACATCCTGCCACTGCCTAGTTTCAGCATCGTATCTGATAATAACTGCCCTCAATCCATCTTCGCTATCACTGTCAACTGGGGTACGAGCAGCAACGTAAACAAACCGGTCTTCTACAGAAATGGCTTTGACATCACGAAGAATCTTTGGTGCTGACTCCAGGTTAAGCCATTTGTCTTGCTCAGGATTATAAATGGCCACATCTTTAAAGCCAGGACTGAAATTGCCATGTCCACCAATACTGTACAAGTTTCCTTTAATTTCAGTAAGGCCAAAAGAATGCTTTCTGGTTATTAGATTTGAGACTTGCTCCCAAATATTTCTGTTTGGATTGTACCTTTCTACAGTTTTGGCAAACCCTGGTTCCATGGAGCCAGCCACATAAACGTAAGATTCTGTAACAGCAACAGCATGCCCATCAAGATGATTATGTATGTGTGGTAAGTTTACCCACCTATCTTCATCGATGAAATACCCTACGCACTCACTCAAGTAATCTCCTCCCTCCGACACACCACCAATCACCATAATGACATCCATGTTCTGTCCAAAACGCGGCAACAACGCTACAGGACAAGCGGAATGTTGTAGATTACCAGACTGCAAATTCTCAGACCGCAAGGCATGACTCTCCACAGCTTCGGACACTAGTTTAACACAGGCTTCGTTGCTTGATACGAGCCTTTCAGATTTGACGTGGCGAGTAAGGTAAGTGGGTTTCATCTGAGACAACCTAAGCAGTTTAAAAAGATCTTCAAAGTACCTCTCTCTTTCCTCAGGATTTTTCTGAACCCACTTCAAAACAGTCTCAAAGAGGATTTCTTCAGAGTCCACTGTGATCTCCGAGTCTGAGAGCCAGTCTCTGATGAGATGAAACGGCAGAATGTAGAACTCCTCATCTTGGATTACCTTGTGGAAGTTTCTCCTGATCATATCCTGAGCTTTGAGGGCCAGCTGATTCAAGGAATACATGTGGGCCAAGCTGTGAATCGCGACACAGTTGGAGAGGTTCAGCTTCTTCTTCAGAAACTCTCCACAGAACTCTTTTAACCGGGTCAGCAGAAACCTGCAGAACAAACGAACAGGGGTGATGCCGCGGCCCGGCTGCCACCGGTCCGGTCGCGGCCAGCCCCCTCGGGCCCCGCTCACCTGTCCGCCATCTCCAGCACCTCGTGGACGTTGCCGGGGCTGACGCGGATGGTGCCGGTGTACATGAAGCCGACGATGGCCTCCACCGTCTCGGGGTCGGGGCCGCCCTCCGAGCTCCACTTCTGCAGCTCCACGCGGCCCGAGCGCGACTCAGCGAAGCCGCCCGAGAGCAGCGGAGTGAAGTACTCGGTGGCGGCGGCCAGGACGGAGCGGTGCGCCCGGTACTCGCGGACCGTCCCGGGCCGCCCGCCGCCGAAGGCCAGAGTGATGTCGCAGTAGAGGCCGTGGCGACGCTGCTCGTTCTGCCGCCAGACCAGGTCGGAGCAGTGCGCCGGGCACCCGAACTCCTCCGCTTCGGCCTCCCCGCCCTCCGCCTCCGGCGGGCCGGGGCCTGGCTGCGGCTGAGAGGAGGCCGCGGCCGCCGCCATCTTGTCCGACATGGCGGGTTTGCGGCCAGCGCGCCTGCGCGCGGGGACCCGGCGGCCTCCGCGTGACATGCGCGGCACTGCCCCCTGGCGAGGAGGTGGCGCCGTCGCCGCAGGTAAAATGGCGGCCGGGGCCCTGGGATGGATGCGGGGGGAGAGGCGGCACAGGCGCAGCGCCCGGGCCGGCCCGTCCCCTCAGCCCCGGGCCACCGTCACCTGGGGGCAAGGGGTGCCCGGAGGGGAGCAGGGATGTGACCGAGGTGAGCGTCCCCCTCACGCCCCAGCGAGCAGAGGGGGCGTTTGGGCCGGCACCGCGGCAGGGGCACCGCCCCCCTCCCGCCCCCGCCTCAGGCGAAAGGCGGGACGGGGGCGGGCGGGACCTGAAAAACCCGTCAGGAGGGAGACTGCTGGGCCTGCTCCCCGATGCTTCCCCGCTTCGGGGCGGCCCTGGTGCTGTAGGTGACAGCAGGGTTGGTCGGCGAGGACACTGGCGCGACAGCCAGAGCATCTGCCAGCGAGCCTCGTGATGTCGCACAAAGGCAGCTTGCCACGCGCGTTGCAGTTGCAAGGAATTGGATCTCTCTGCCAAACTGCATAGGTATCAGAGGCAGGAAATACACGCGTAGTTTTTTTCAGAGCCTTGAGCTATCCTTTTGATTATTTTTTCTCCTTAACGTTGCTCTCTCAGGCAAGCCTGCAGGGAAGGAACTTAACATGAGAAATTCCCTCACTCCAACTAAGGTACACCTTTTTTTTGTTGATTAGAATGAAGTGAGCTATAGTTGATTATTTCATGTTTACAACACATACACTTCCCTAACTCTTGTGTAATGTTATATCAATTATAGATAATGTCTTTCCTACATGTCATGTTTTTGACCTACACTGAAACATGATGGGATCGGTCTGTATGGTGTTCTTTAAAATCAACTAGAACAGACACCAGGAGAGGAATAATTGCTTCATTGAATCACTGGTTCCCAGCTTGTCACACATTGTGTTAGACACTGTTTAGGACCAACTTTTAGAAGCCAGAAGTAGAAAGAGAATAAATCAGCAGTGTACCATTTATTTGAGTTAGGTTACAATACACAGACAAGTAGGACACTGAAGTTATTACTGAGATTATTTTTGCATCTGCAGATAACATGAGTGACATTCCATATACCAGCAATCTAATAGCAAATGAGAATTTGTTTGCATAAATACAGATACCAGAATACATGTAGTTTCACAGTTTTAACAGCAGTATGTTACAACTTTACACTTTAAATTACTACACCAGAGTTTGAGTAACATTGGTTATATATCAGCAGTGGTCCCACTATTCAGGGTACAATCAGACTGGAGATAAGAACACACTAAACAAATTGAAAAACAACCAACAACAACAAAAAAATCCCAAAGCATGGCTTATAGGAATGATGGGTACTTCCCCTCTATGGGGAAAAGTTACAGCTTGTTAGACTAAGGGATCTTCCACAAGTTCAGTAAGACAGCGCCTATGAGCAAAACTAGCCCCCCCCAAACCCTTAAAATCTTTTTTCTGGAAACAAAATGAAATGAGTAGAAAAAAATAAAAGGGTGAGACACAGTATTAAATACAGCAGGTAACACACAGAATATCACAAGTTTTGGTTTTTATTAGAGTAAGTTTCTATTCTTATAAAACAGTTGCTTTGCACAGTTTGACCAGGCAGCCCAATGTCTATATACCAATGGCCTTTATACATCAAAGTCCCATTCGTGGCTGTCCTCTGTGCAGGCTTCTGTCTTCTTGAAGTGACATTCTGAGGCAATACTACAGGTTCTCACATGGTCATGTGCTCTGGTAAAACATAGGATATGTCATCCCATGGGTGGCGGTACAGACCTTGTTTCAATCTCTTCTGATCCAGGTAGTGTCCTAAAACAAAAGTGGTTTGTGTTACAAAATTTCTGTTCCTCCTTCTCATCTTACTTTGCCTTGAAACAACTTTGATTTCTGGATTCCTGCAACTAGCATTTTAGACTGAGTCCCCCAGAGGTTCACGTTTGTCTCATGTTCATGGTGGCAGGGCATTCACCAATAGGATGGAAGGGGAGAAATGTGGCAAACTTACCAATGAATCCCATACTCCTGCCTAGTACAAAGATACCATTAAGAGCTCCTATATCAATATATTCATCTGCTTCTTCCCTGCAAAGGAAAAGAAATTAAATAGTATCTCATAGATAACTATTTAAAGAATCAATCTTAGAAAGACTATGAGTCTGCTGTAGTGCCAGTAGCAACACCGAATTCAGTGAAAGCTTCCTTCCCCAAGTCCAGGCTACATTTCCTTCACAATGTCCTTTTGAAATCCTGGCCCCACATGAGCTGGCAGTATAGCTCCCATCATTTTTATAGGACCATGACTTAAGAGAAACAGCCCACTACATACTTACCGTGTGAAAGAGCCACAATTCCTGAGTACATCAACAAAGGCAACTCCAATAAAGCCATCTACATTCAGGATAAGATTTGGTTTCTGCAGGAAATGAAAACACACCCCAATAAAGATGTTAACATTGGCAAATGGTATTCACCTGGCAGCTTCCATCCTCAAGGGTAATTTGAGGGCTGCCCATAATTGTGGACACACAAGCCTAGCAATGGAGAAGGCTGTTCAGCAACTTGAGCAAGAGCCATGCTTAATGTGAATGATGGAAAAACTGCCCCGAACAATGGGCCTGCATTTGGTTCAAACCAGAGAGATTATCGACCACAGCCCATCACATGTGCTAGCTCTGCCTCAGAATACAGCAGTTCTAGTGTGGACAGTGGACAACACAGATAATGGGTGTTGGTTTGTTAAGCATTTTCCTGGTGTCCAATAAATGTCTTCAGCCTTACCAAACTGTAGTACTTGGCCTCAAGTCTATCATAGAAAAACAAAACCCCAGCAACAATTTATGAAGCACTGCAATTAAAATACAGTATTAACCCCCGGACACTTTTCCTCCATTAAGAAAGACTGCTCAAGAGGAGCTAAATACTAGCTCATTTCACCTTAGAAGTTGTAATTTTTTCTACTTCAAGGGCATAGTCCAACAGTGGGGTGGCAGGGAAATGCTGCTTCACGTAGTCTTTGAGAATCTGAACTCTCATGTCTGGGTTATTTATCTGCAAGTTAAGAACACATTACAGTCACTGATGTTGCCTCTTACACAGGTACTTGCCATAAGCTTTGCTATTTGTAGGTTTAGGAGAATTTGGTCAGTAGCTGCCTCTGAAACTTACTAATTTTCTTTCCTTTGTTTTTTTTTCTCTCTCACAACCTTCATATTCCCCCCCGCCCCCGCTCCATTTGTACTAATGCAGTTTTCTTACTGATTTGACTCTGTGTCCAATGCCCATGATCAGTTTCCCTTCTTTCTTCATCTTATTCACAAACTCCATAGGGATAATCCCACTGTCAAAGGCTTTGCTGAACATTTTAGCTGCAGCATCCAGCGCTCCACCAAACCGGTCACCCTGGGTGTAATACACAAAGGAAATTACAGCAGAGGACTTCCACAATTAAGATACAAAACAAGCACAAGATTATCTTCCCCATCCACCCTGCCTATCACTGCAGCATTCATGAAATTAAAGGTTAGGCAGGCACCCGAGATAAAGCATCTGTTTAGAGCTCAACACAAGTGCCACTGTGTAGCTGACGCATCTCCACTAGAGACAGTGGGAAGGGGGGAAATGCAATCTAAAGTCTGTTTTATTCACACTTTTACTTGTCAGTCTTGGAAGAGACTAGGCAACCATATAGGGACAACACTGACAGCAATTTGGCCTCTACAAAATATTTCTAGACTCAGAAGAGACATCAAAACAGTCTTGCTTACTAGAAAAGTGGACTAGGTTTTAAACATAAGAGTATCAAGCTATTAGAGTTGAATTAAACAGAAATTCAAAGTGTGAGTGAACAGACAAAACCTGTCCATGGCTCTGCAGCCAACGTAAATCTTAAATTAATAGTAATAAAACATAGACAGAGTAATGAATAACTAAGCCAAATCTTCTGGATATTAGGCACTTACAATAGTAAGAAGGCCTGAAGTGAGACTTGAGACAAGATCTTTTCCAGCTCTTGCACAGACAATGGTGTTGTGGGCTCCAGATACAGCAGGCCCGTGATCTGCTGTTACCATCAAACACATCTCAATGAACTGGCAGGCATACTTTGGTAACCTGAGCAAGAAAGAGACTGAAGTCATTTATTGTAAAGAAAACTGAATAACAAGACACTTGGTGTTATACTGGACAGTGACTTTTGTTTTTGGTGTATGCTTGAAAGAAGTAGAACAGAAAGGGAGCTGTAGGGTCACAATACTCATCAGTGCATCCTAATATCTTTCTCAGAGATCAGATTTTTTAAATTCAGTTTCCACAGGAGCTGTTTAGCTCAGAGCTGAGGGTCAGTTTTGTACACTGAGTTTGCACACACTCAGCAGACAGATCAGTGAGCTCTGTGGGTCCCCTTGAGGGGAGCCATGTGGCTGTGCTACAGTTCTGTTCATTCTGTTCTTCCTGTTCTGCTGAGCCAGAGATTCCAGCTAGTGCCAAAAGTGCCTCTAATGAAGGCATGATACTTCTGCCATTCAGAAGATTCCCTGTAGGCTGGTTAGCAAATGTTTGTAAACTCCCCACTCTCTCCAGGGTCAAGGTGACAATTATAATAAGCAAGTAGTCAGAGTGTGAAATAGGCCTAGAATAGAGAAATGGAGACATTTCCTCAGTGCGCCACAAAACTTGTGGAAAACTTAATCCCAGGACTAAAACATACTGTATGAAGCCCTGAAATGCTGATGTGGTCTCAGAGGAGAGGATATAGAGATGGCATTTCCAATGAATCTACATTCACAAAGGAATCCTGGAGTTACTTTTGTGCTAAAAGGTCTGTTGATGAACAAGCAAAACTTCAAGCCAAAGAATTTGGGAGCTTTCACAAAAAGCTGCCTCACCTCCTTTGAAACCAGAGCAGGCCCAGGACTCCTCCAATTCCCATCTCTTCTTTGAAGACCTCAGTGATTGGCATCCCAGCATATATCAGTTCCTGACCTCTCTCATCACAGATACTTGTCATAAAGGAAGCCGGTTTGCGGATCAGACCCAGCTCCTGAAATCACAGCATAAAGATGGGATTTTAAACATGTTAGAAGCAAGGGGCAGTAGGAGGCAGAGTGGTCACACAACAGTGCCTTAAGCTTGCCCTCACAGCAGCTTCCACAGCCTAGAACCACCATAGCCAGTGAGCTCACAGACCATGCTATAAAAGTGCAAGATAAAACCCCAAGGCAACACTGTTATCACCATAAGCATCCAGAATCACAGCAAACATCCTGTCTGGTTTCTAAGGAACCAAAAAGCAGGTAAAACAGTACAGCTCACCCTTGCCCAGGAGTAATCCATTGGCACAGTTGGAGGAGGCACTTCCTCAGCTGGTTCAATCACTCTTTTGGCCACAAGATCCTGGTAGACAGACCTAGGGAGAGAATCCATTTATTAACTTAAGTCCTTTTAAGAGATACAAGTGAGGTGGTCTTAATCTAGACCTTAAAAACCCAGAATGAATAGAAGTTGCTTTCCTTAAGCAGGAATATACTCCTTTATCAGGCTAGAATCAGTACCCTAACAGTTTTTGTCCCCTGCTGAAGGTGCCCTGTTAATGTGACTTACTGAATGACCTCTCCCAGCTCATCAAAACTCCGGGGAACAAACACACCAGCTTCCTTCAAGGCTTGGTTCTTTGCAACAGCAGTTTCAGAAGCCTGGTTGGCACAAGCTCCTGCATGGCCAAACTGCACCTACAAACAAGAGAAGAGACAGCAGTAAGGGATACAAGTTGTTTACCTGCAGAGAGTGAAACAGAATAAAGAACTGACTAGGAAACTGGTGACAGAGGAATACCAGTGACCACACATCTGCCTTCTTATTTGGGCTAACAGAACTCTTGGTTGCAACTACAGTCAGCACTGCAATATGCAGGGCATTTTCTGACCTGGAATCACTCCAGGTTCTTCCATTGACATTCTGCCTCCCTGAATTCCCCCACTCTCTGGAGCTGCTTAACATGCACCTTTCCCATTCCCACTCCAGAAGCAGGTGGCTATTAGAATCTGTTGCATTCCCTGGGATCTTTGGGCTCTCTTTCCAAGTATGCAGAATCCCTTAGAAATCTCCAGTGGCAGACTACAGAAGCTCAAAAAGCTTTTATTATTTATGTTTATTAACTTCTGCACATTAAGTTGCTACTGACAGTTCTGAAAGGTTTAGGCACAGTGAGAGAAGTTTGTTTTTTTTCTTCCTGTCATAGATACATACTTATTCATGCATTTGCCCCCAATTTTGCACATACCTCTGAAGAGAACATGGTGGCACAAGTACCAATACACCAGCACACCACTGGCTTGGTGATACGACCTTCTTTAATCCCCCTGCAGATCTTATACTCTTCTGTACCTCCAATCTGCAGAAAGAAAGAGAGCTGAGCTGGTTCAAAACTTTGCACTTTTGTAGAATCCAGCTCAGAGATACTTCTATATGCATTACTTGGATTTTTTTCTCCTTTTTCAACATGTCCTGGTTTCAGCTGGGATAGAGTTAATTG